ACTTTGTCAAAAATCAAATGTCTTCACCTGTAGGCTTTAGTGAGGGCTTCTATTCAATTTCATTTGTCTTCATATCTCCTTTTGTACAGTATCATGCTGGGGTTTTGGTTGTTCATGAGTTTGTTTATTATTTTGGCTATAAAGTGTAGATGAAGTAAGGTATTTTGTTATCTCCAGCATAACTCTTTTTGCTCAGGATTGTTTTGTCTATTTGAGGTCTTTTGTGCTTTCATATGAACTTTAGGACTGGTTTTTTTTTATCTCTGTAAATAATTCCTTTAGATTTTTTTCCCATTTTTATGATGATTTTATTGAACATATTAATTGCTTTTAGTAGTATAGCCATTTTGATCATACTGATTCTGCCTATCCATGAGGCTAGGACAAACATCCAACTACTAATGTCATCTTCATTTTCGTTCTTTGGTGACTTATAGTTTTCACTATAGAGGTCTTTCACTTTCATTGATAAATATATTCCTAGGTATTTTAAATTTTTGATGTTTTTTTGAATGTATTGTTTTTCCAATTACTTTCTCAGACTGTTCACTATTGGTGTATATGAAAGCTAATGATTTTTGTACATTGATGTTGCATCCTGCCACTTTGCTGATCATGTTTATAAGTTGTAAGAGATTTTTTATAAATTTTTATAGTCTTTTTGGTATACAATCATATAATCTTCAAATAGGGGTAATTTCACTGTTGTCTTCCCTATTTGAATTCCTTTAATTTTTTTCTCCTGTCTTGTTGCTAGGAATTCCAGTAATATATTTAATAAGATTAGGGAGAGTTATCTATTAATGTATTAATTCATAGATGAACATGGAGGTTACTTCTACCTTTTAGCTACTATAAATAATGTTGCTATGAATGTAGCTATACAAACAATGTCTTCAAATTGTTATTTTTTATTTTTGAGGTAAGTGCCCATAAATGAAATTCACAGTCATATGGTATATTTTCAAAATGTTTTCAGGAGCAGCCATTCTGCTCTTCACAGCATTTGGGTCACTTTAATTCCCAACATTAATGTGTACCCATGTATCAAGTTTTGCAAATCTTCAACAATGTTGCTTATGTTTGTATTTGTTTTGATGTTTGAGATAAGAATTTTGCACTTCTCACCTTTTGTTCCATGAAGCATAACAGTAGGGAAAAGATTGAATAGCTCCCCACATGCTTCTAGAAAGCACCATAATCAGAAAATAAGGAGTCTATGGTAATGAACATAGTTGAATCTACTCATTATTCTGGGTTGCAAAAATCAAGTGCACCAAATAGACAGGAATCAACTATGGACCATTGAATTGCTCATAAATTGTATCTAGCCTCATGGAACAGATTGCTGGAAGCTTAAGAATACCACTGGTTATTCATCTGGTGAAAGGACCATTGCTGTCTGCAGTTCTCCATTCACACAACAACTTAAAACTCCATGATTGATAACTGGGTATTCATTTTTGTTTTCCTGGATGCTCAAATTAATTCTATCACCAGGCTGATCAATCCAGAGCTGAGCAATGGATTGTATTTACCTGGGGCTAAGACTAAAGACGATGACAAACCAGGGCACAAGACTGTTATGGGAAATTTGAAAAGTGGACAAAATCCCCAAAGTAAATGACATTTAAGGTCAGTAATCTCTAACAGGGTATGCACAATTTCAATATTTTCAGTTAAATGATTATTAAAATTTCCAAAATGCTAAATGCACTGAATTAAGAAAGAAATTGATTATTTCATAATAAATCATTGTGTTTTCAACCTTCAGAGTGATGAAAACATTTTAAAATGTAATGGTGCATTGATAAGAAAATAAATTCAAGATGAAAATAATGATAAGAATCCATCTTTTCCCTAGCCACCAGATTGTTATGCATCAATTACATTGATAAATAACGTTCAGACCTCTTACTAAAAGTCTTTTTTATTGTTTTGCTGGGAGTGTACTGTGACATTTACAAAAGTTCTTACAATATATCATATTTGAATTTACTCTGCATCTCTCTCCCATCCCTCTTCATCTTTTTTGGAAAAATTTTAGCATGTTTCAATCTTTATTAACAAGTGTTTTTTAACAAGTGTTGAGCTTCTTTAGACAACTGATTATAATGTTAAGCACTCTTACTAATAGGTATTTATTGTAACTACCCCTTATGTTTTTTATGTTTTTTATTAAATAAGCTGAGATTTTGGGGCTGAGGTGAGTTTAACTCCATAATGACAAGTATTAGTGCCTTCACTCGGACCCTCAGTGCATTTAGTAAAGGACTATCAGCTGTGCAGTCAGCTGAACTGCTCTTATGCCAACACCAGCTACTTTGAACACTACTGAACATCTTAAAGAGCTACAGACAATTACAGCTTACTACTGACATTCAAATCTGACTCATATATGAAAGTATCTTGCACAAACTTTTTTGCAAGCCTCAGTGACATGTAGATGACCTTGAAGCCATTTCCACCAACACCAGAGGGAAAGTCCTTCCCCTTTCTTTCTATAGAATTCTTCTAACAGGAGAAAGTTCTTTCACTGGGAACTGCAAACTGGTGAAAGATACTGTGGCATGATGGGTACAGTGCAATACTTTATTTGAATAAGAGAATTGCAATGATTGGTACCCATACTCTTGCCAGATCCATCATGTGGCTATTTAAGACAGCTGTTTAGTTCAGTTGGAGAGCCAGTGTAACCTCCCGTCCTACTCCCTGCAAACAAAATACAAGGTCCCAATAAAGATTTGTCTGGTGTGGTTGTCCTTCTCTACTTTAGATTTTCCTATTGGTAAAGCAATACAACTAATAGCACAAAAAGAAGGGTTGCAAAGCAATAACAGTCATGGGGTAACTGGACACATCATGGCAAGAGGAGAAATAGAGCTTTCCACAACATCAGCCTCCACCACTAGCAATGGCATTGAGGTCAGTTATGGTCATCAGGCTTACCCAAGGCTATGGGATCAGAGGTAACATCAGACCTGTGGCAGAGTTGACATCAGAGAATTGCTGGTGGGGGCGGTCATGGTGACAGCAGCCATGGGAAAAGCAAAGGGAAAAAGTGATAGAAGCAGTGACGGGTATCAGAAGTACAGAAAGAAAACTAGAGAGAATGAAGAACTGATGCTGAAGAATGTCAGAGGGTTGTGAAGATCCAGACAGATGAATCTACAAGCTATGATCAAGATCTATAACACTTGTTGCCATTGAGGACTGTCAGACACTAAGATTGGGACCCGAAGTGCAAGAGCTTCAAAACTTTACCCTACCATGGACTGTCAAAGATTCTGGGACTAACCTATGGATTATGACATCTTTAATGCCTCCATGGAGAGTAGGTAAGTGCCTTGGGTCTGAACGAGAGGTGTGTAATTCTATGATTCTAAACCAGCCTCCAAGCTAGGTGGTTTGTGGCAAAATAAGCTTTTATATTGTGTCTTTCAAAAGAAATTATCTTAAATGGTGTTGTTGGAGAAAACTTTCTTTTTATTTGAAGAACAAAACACCCTAAAATATGCCTTCTTCAATTTCTATAGATCTTCTCTTATCTTCTTTATATAGGTTCTCCTGTATTCTAAGGAAAAACTGATATTTTTCTTGGTAAAATGTTTCCATCTATTCTGAAATGGTGTTCACTCCCAAAGCAAATGAGATGCAAAGTAATTTGACATTAATAGAAAAGAATGTCACATTCACATTTAAGTTATCACCATCACACATTTTTATTAAGTAAATACTTTCATTTCTTTCTCAAATATTTTTTATCAAAAGGTTATCATAAAATGTTCTTTTTTACCTCTTATTCTGTGACTTAATTAATATTTGATATTATTATCCTATTCTTATTGGTGATACTTCAAAGCTCAACCAAGTATACTCTAGGATCATCTCACTGGAAAATTGTGAAAAATATGGAAATAGGGTATATATAATGTTATACTATTATATTAAGTTAAACTTGTCCTGAGCATGCTTCCATATGTGAATCCTTATGTAATAAGGTACAACTGATTATAGTATTTAATCTTATTAAAAGCCTACATAAGAAGAATACTATGTAACAAGTAGCTGAATTTCATTCAGTCATAGCAGTTGTTCTTTAATTTCAGGCAGCAAACTATGAGACCATGTTCAAAGGAGGCAAAACTGAGCTGCTACAAGCCTGCTGTCTCTACTTTCACTTATATTTTGTCCATAAATGTTCCTGCTCACATGACACTTTACTCTTGTGTAGGTTTGGAGGGATGCCAAATTCATTCTTTACTCACATCAACATTGCTAAATTTCATTTGTCTAATGATATTCTTTTAACACTATCCTGACATCTATCAACTGCTCATCATAGTCAACTCAGGAAGCACATTTCAAGAATCATTTTCCCTTGTTGGTATCCTGCATACTTGTTACATGAAGGCCTTCCTACACAATTTAAAGTTGTAAGAGGATAAGTCAATATTGTTATCTTTGACCAGACAGATGGACAGAGAAGTGAAGCGGAGTATCACCCATGAGGAGACACAGGCAGCCAAAAGCATCACAATTCCACCATAGGTATTTCAAGACAGGGTAGAGGATACAAAGCCTACTTTTCCAGTAGCAGATGACTCTGGCTTTTAGTGGAGCATCAGAGTTTCCACTGATTCCATTATTAGCTTTTCTCAGTAATGTAACCCAGAGATTGTAAGGATATTCCCTAGATTCTAATCCCCCTTGTTTCAGAAAATTCCTGCTTGCATTAAATCTACTTTTTTGAAAGAATCTAACTGATGTGAAACACATATATATCAGGTGTACTCTTCTGAGTTCTTTGATGAAGCAGGAGACACAACTTTATATCTGTGTTGCTGGGGTAAGCAAGAGGATAAAACATTAGGGCTTATATGAGTGTCTGTCTTGTGGTAAACTTCAGAGCCTGAATCTGAGAAAAGCTCTCAGCAAATGGAGGCACTAGGAGAGCAGATGGGGCATCACAGCCTCACACTTCTGCTTCCCTGGTAGGTTTATGTTATAACTTGTTTCACTGTGGGAGGGTTACTATTAGCCTGTTGACAGTAATAACTTTCAAAATCTTCAGGCTCCAGGCTGTTGATTGTGAGAGTGAAATCTGTCCCAGATCCACTGCCACTGAACCTTGAGGGCACCCCAGATGCCAAACTGTTAGCACCGTATATCAGGAGCTTATGAGCTTTCCCTGGTTTCTGCTGATACCAGGCTAAATAATTGCCAATGCTCTGACTAGCCTTGCAACTGATGGTGATTCTGTCTCCTGGAGATGCAGATGGGGAGAGTGGAGAATGGGTCATCAGGATTTCACATCTGGCACCTGAAATTGGAGATATAAAAACAAATATTCACATTATTAATGATGTTGTAAGAGGACTTCTTTGAAGAGCCAGGCAGAACTGGCCACATTGGGCTGAGAAAAATCTAAGTGTTGTCCATTTCAACCTGGGATCCAGAGCAGCAGCAGCAGCCCCAGGAGCTGAATGGGAGCTGTCATGTCTATGCTGTGTTCTGTCTGGAGCTGACTCCTGCACAGGCTATGATCAGCCTATTATTGAGTCCTCTGGGCACTATTCTGTGCTCTAGGCATATGCAAATCAGCAAGGGTTGTGTACAGCTGCAGGTAGGTGATTTCTCAAGTGTCCCAAATGTGATGAGGGCAGCTGCATTTTCCTTACAGAGAATGATTCTCTTGGGGGGGAAACCACAGGCAGATTTAGTCTACTGTCCAGTGATGACAAATTTTTTCTTGTGTTCCTTAATCATATCACAATTCTATGTGAATGACTCTTAGAAGAGAGAGTAATTAAGGAAAGAAGGCGCTATTTCATACTTACGGAAATGAAGAGAGGAAGATAAGAGAATGTATAAAAGCTGGTAAATAGGTGGATTTTGAAAACATTGGCATAGTATGACTAAGATGGCATAGGTAATTATGTTTTCCAGGCTTTCATGCATCATTCTCCCCACAAGTCACATATCATAATTCCTGTCCTCTCCTGAAGAGTAGGTCTAAGACCCAACCAGTCTTTTCCTCTTGAGGGACTTTTCTAGAAAATGATAAATTTAGAAATAAGTTTTGCTATTTTTTCAGGGAGGTATAAACAATACTGTGCCTTCAAACTTGGATCTAATTGACAGCACAAAAAGTGACTCATACAAATCCACTTTCAATGAAATTAGAATTACAAAGCTGTGGATGACTTCCTAGAGCTGCATACATCTGAACTTCTGCCAGTATCCAAAGTTACAACCCTCTGCCTACTTAGCTTCTATTTTATTTGACTGTCATGGCAGAAACCTGGACATAGATCTCCATCTAGTGTCCAAACAGCATATTAAACTACATGCTCAAATAACATAAGACAGAATTAGACCTTGGGAAAGTTTTGCTTTATAGGAAATTTGTCCCTGCTCTTATCACAGATTACTCTGGTCTTGGCAAATACTGTCTGACTACATGAAGGAGATGGCTTGTATTGCTGTACTCTGGCATAGAGAACAGCTAAATTGGAGCTTGCTGCAAGATGAAGTTACTCCAGCTGGAATTCGAAGGACTCATCTTACAACACAGTTAAAGAAATCATAGTAATGCCTCAAGATATAAAAAAGAAGCCTGAAGCTTGGAGAAGTTAGGACTGTAATCAGCTTAGTAATAGCAGAAAGTGTATGAATTACTTCAATTTTCCTGCTTTCCCACTTTTGAAACCAGAGTCTTGGACTGCAGACCCAAACTCCTGGGCTTCCATTTGTCAGGCCCAGCCAATCACACTGATACACCTAGTAAAGATATATGGTTAAGAGCAGAGAAAGGAGATTTATTACAGTTGTTTAGACATATTGTGGGAAGAGACAGATTAAGCATTCAGCCCACTTTCAGCATTTTCAAAGTATAGACGGAAGTTAGAATTTTAAATACACAAAGAGCTGGGAGCCTGGGGAGAGAGCACACATAGTTAAATAGACTGAGGCACAGATGTGATCTAGTTGGCCATTACAAGTTCTGGGACTTGTAAACCAAAATCATTGTCACCTGGAAGGTGGTCTATCCTAAGGAAGCTCTACTGATAGGGGTAATTTCTTTCACTTGTCATGAAGATATCTTTCCTGGAATCCAAGATAATTGTAAAGTGACTGTAGAGAGAATGGCTTAGAGCAAGGAAACATACAAAGTGATAGAGAGATGTCATCCTTTTTTCCTTCTTTTCATTTATTTGTAGGCCCAAGAATTGAGTCAGTACTTTTCAGAAAAAAGAAATGCTTAACACCATCACCAGGTAGGCTTTTCAGTGTTGGCCTTCGTGCCTCATGGTCTTAAGGGTACAGCACTGTCTGTATCATCAAGTATAGTACTGAGCATTGTAGGAACAAATTCAGAGAAACCTCTTATGTTCCATGTTTGTTGAGGAATCAAAAGATTCTTGAGTTGCCCTCCTTTAGCCTCTGTTACATCTTATTTCTGAGCTGACCACATATAACCCTAATCCCTGCTCCTGCTCTGACCTGAGAAAGCCTCACCCTTCCTTTTTGTCCACAGTAGTTCAGAGTGAGGCAGGCTAGAAGTAGGAAAGGTTTGGGACTCATGTAGGCTGCCTGGGGATGGCCCAGACCACCCTCACCTGGCTGGGAATTTCTACTGCCCCTCCCCACTTGTTCATTATGGGGTGGGAACCCCTTGGCCTGCCTTTCCATGGGGTAGTGTAGGTTTTAAAGGCACCTGAAAAAGAAAAGCTCTCTCTCTGCTGGCAGACTCCACCTGGACCCACCAGGCCCTCTTCTTCTTCTTCCCTTTCCTTACCTGTCAGAATGGGTGACTACCCTTTTGTCAATAAAGCTATCTTACCTCACCCCATCCACATGCTCTGCTTGGATTTTTCCATTTGGGAAAGAAAAACCAGGATCTTCTAATCACAGACTGCACCAGTGCAATTAACGTTTGTGGCAAAGCCAGCCAGGACAAACTGACCAGTGAAATCCCAATATGCTATCTCTGCCAATCTTTATGTTAATTCATCTTTCTCTGTCCTCTGGTACCATGCCTTACCACCTGATGCTTCTGAACCAAACACCACTTACAGTTTGGGTAATAGAAGACCCTCACACTGGGGAATTCACCTGGTGCTTGGGACTCATTTGGAGCTCTAGCACAGATGGACCCCACCCTGATTAGCAGGATGCAATAATCATGGCAGGACTCGCAAGCTCCCACGACCACCCCAAGACACATGGTTCACGGTCAGGTTCCCTGGTCCTGTCCTCGGGGGATGAACCACATTAAAAGCTAACTACCCCTTCTCCAATCTTCCCTTCCCTCCTCTCCCCCATCCTTTCCTCTGTTGCACTGTGGGAGCTCATACTCTAAGGTCTATAATTCCGCACTTGGCCAGGGCAATTAGAAATGCCCCCACCATTCAGGCTGAGCTTCTCCACCTATTTCCCCATCTTTCTATTCTTCTTTTCTTTTCTTTCTCCCCCTAACCAGTGGTTTTAAAACAACAAATGGGAGGTACACCTTGTTGAGTCCATCCAGTGACAGGTCCTTTTTGTTAAAAAAAGAAAAACAAAAAGGGAACAGGAAAGGCTGGCTCCAGAAGGGCTGACACCTGCCCTGGGAAAGCGTTGCTGCTCATAAAATAGGAGAGGGAGCCATGAGGATAGGAGAAAATTAACTGCTACCTGTAGTTTGGGAGGCTTTCGTGCCCCTTGCAGTCACCCCCCGAGGGGGCATAGAGTAGTTGGCATTATATCTGTCATAATAGTGCAGTTAACGGAAACTTGCTGTCACATCCTGAGCACAGTGTCCCAGCTGCCACCGGCACCTGGGGATGGCATGCACACGTGGCACCTGGGACACCCCTTGGGACATGTATATGCAGTATGGTGCAGTACATGTGACTCTCACCAGACCACTTGAGTAAACTACACCCATGGTTCACTATGACACTCATGCAATGTTAACGTAGTTGGCCACCTGAGGTAACCATGACTGTGGTTTTTGATGTCTGTGCACACTTTCCCTGATGGCTGGTGGAGACAGCTGCATGGACAGCCATGAGTACATTTTTCTCGATCTGCACCTTGGGGTGGATGGAAGTCATGCCTCCAGAGGTCATGCCTCCAGAGACCTGGAAGTCCTATCCCCAGAGGCCATGCCTCTGGAGGGCTGGAGCAGGCCACTGCTGGCTCAGGACCCCCAAATCATCCACTGACACTGACACAGAATGCCCCAAGATATCTGGCGCCATTTGGCAAGGCTTCTAGACCCATGGTGATGGGTGTTATCCTCCATTCGCACCCCTGGGGCCTAACCAAGGCACAGGCCCCATCCTGTTTCTCAGTGTGGTCTGGAAGCTCCACCTAGCCAGCCCACTGTAAAGTATAGTGACCATGACCATGGAGGCAGTAGCCACAGGGTGTATGTGCTACAATAATTACACCTGCAACTGTAGGATACAAAGGGGCCTGCAGCAACCTATGTGTACACGTATGTATGCTTGGGATGCTGCACCCAGCTACAGCCTCTGGCCAGCATCCTCTGGCTGAAAGGCTCCCATGCCTGAGCTGACTGAGAGAGGAGATGCAAAGGCACAGCAGCTCCACTGCTAGTGGGGAGGCCACAGGAGCCACTGGAGCTTGGGGCATGGTGAACAAGGTGGGTGATGCCCCAGCAGCAGCATAATGGGACTACGTGTGTGCTCCCCAGCTGCACCTTGCACAGTTCCCCAGCCCCACGCAGTGGTTAAGTTTCCATGCTTAACCAAATCACTTTCTTCCTATCTTCAAGCTTCTCTGTCTTCTTTCTCTGACCCACACCTTTGCTGTCTACCTGCCATGTCCATCTGCTCTAAACACCCCATTCCAACACTTATTGCCCCATAGCCTACAGGGGTCACAGAAATGCTCACACTGTGGTCAAACTCCATTGTCCCAGGGCTAACAAGAACTTTCTGCCTATCTTAGACAAAGGTTCTAAATTCCATTCAAAGGTAAAATCTAAATCAACATAGGTTACATCTGTGTAGCTGTGGTATTAGTTGTCACTGTTCTTACATGGTAAATGCATTTAAATTCTGTAAAGCATGTTTTCTAAAATTAAAAGCAGTGCCATTTAAGGATTTAACATTGGTCACCTGTAAAGTATATCTATAATAAAAAAAAATCACAACTTACTTAAAACTCATTTACTATAAAGGCAAAATTAAAAGGAAAAAAATATTAACACAACGTCATCTTTTTACACCAAAATATAGTGTTAATTAATGCTGTCCATCATAATTATTATTCTAAAATGTGATATACAATATACCTTTAAAAACATTCTAACCTTAACTGTTCTTTGCTAATAAAATTAGGCTTATAACCAAGAGGTTAAAAAAATGAGTTGTTATGCACATGCACTTTAAATAGGAAATTTAACTAGAGGTTTTACTCTTAACAATCAATTATTTTTGTTTTAAAATTAATAACATTTGGCTATCCATAGCTCAAAGTAGTATGTCAAAA